GAGATGTGCCTGCAAAAGTATATTCCAGTTTAGAAATCCTTACTTTTGCAACAAAGGCCTTGGATAAAGCCTGGCGGATATCAGCCTGACATTAGCATGGAGAGGGAGGAGAGAGGGAAAGATTAGAATGTAAGGAAAGGGGGGGGGGATGGAAGCCCAGTTGAGCCATGTGCGAAGCTCCAGCTAGCCAAGGCCAAGTAACGAAATGCAGAGCTGGGAACCAAGCACCTGTTTCCTGAACAATATATAAGCACCTGATTGGATATTTGCAGATAATCGAGGGATGAGGGGGGAGGGAACTTTCCTTTGTGTTGCTTGCAGGAGAAAACCTCAGATTCAGCTTTCCTTACTTCTGTAACCATTTAAGCTTCAGTATACTCTTGGGACGTGGTGGCTCAGTAGCAAAGACTCTGAGTTTGTCAATCAGAAAGGTCGGCAGTTTGGCAGTTGGAATCCCTAGTGCTGTGTAATAGAGTAAGCTCCCATTACTTGTCCCAGCTTCTGCCAACCTAGCCGTTCAAAAGCATGTAAAAATACAAGTAGAAAAATAGGGACCATCTTTGGTGGGAAGGTAACAGCGTTCCGTGCATCTTTGGCATTTAGTCATGCCGGCCCCATGACCACAGAGATGTCTTCAGACAGCACTAGCCCTTTGGCTTAGAAACAGACATGAGTACCGCCCCCTAGAGTCAGGAATGACTAGCACATATGTGCAAGGCAAACCTTTACCTTAAAGTATACTCTTGGGAAAACAAATGGCCAGGAGTCTTTCTTTGCTAGATGACTGAGTTGGATGATTGACACAAGATCATAATTAATCAAACAATAAATGCAATTACTCCACAAACCTTAACTCCACCGCTGAGTATAGCTTTTATTAAAATTGGTCCGTAGTGGCAATTTCACATAACAAAGTTGTTACATAATGAACATGGTTTGTATAAACTCTTGAGGTAAGTAAGCAGTAGAGAACATTAACAGCATCTTATGAGGTCAGATCCAGCATCTATTTGGTACAGCATCCACACACGAATCAATTATAGACAAAAGGGAAAGAACACAATATAGGGAAGTGCCTTTCATTTACAGGGACACTAAAAGTCCCTGCCCTATATTCTCAAATCCCTCGCCATCAGATCAGGCCAATACTGCTCTAATTTAAATAATAATATGCAATCATCTATTCTGTACTATGAGCTTACTC